GAGGGGAGGGGGTCCAGACTGCACGGGAGGGGCTGTATTTCCTCTGGGCCATTAGAAATCAGCCCTGGGCTCTCCGAACAGCTGGGAGTTGGTGAATAATGACAGGGGCGTCCCCCTTTTCCCTTTATCTTGAGCCAATGGTCAGACGGGAGTGTAGCAATAGTGGAAAGCTCTCTGGTTTCCCAGGGGAAAACCCTCCTGCCTCCGTTAGATGTACATCACCAGGACTGGTATCTACATGCCTGGGCAGCAGCCTGGCCCTGATACCATCTCCCTCTGGATCAGCCCCTGGTTCTTGCTCTGGGTCTTCCCGCCCTGCTGACTTTTTTGGCCTTTGCAATAGTTTAATCCCCTGCAGCCGCAGCCCCATTGGTTTAACGCTGCGCTGAGGCCAGAAGCGGCCGAGGCAGAGCGCCTGCTGAGGAGCCCACTCACACCAGTGTCCAAGGGGGAGCAGAAATCGCTGGGGAGGCCCTGTTTGCTGCCCAGTCTAACTGTGCAGCACCCAGAGAGTCCAAGGCCCCTCTGCGTGGTGGGGCTGTAGATAACGTGTCAAGCCTTTGCAGCAGTGAGTTCCAGCGGTGGGTTGGGGGATGGGATGTAGTGAAAGGTAAGGATAGTCCTTGCTCTGAGGAGTTCACCATCTGAAAGTCTCCTAACCTGTGTCCCCCACCTTTGTGCCTCAGTTTCCCCATCTATAAAAATAGGGCTAATGATCCTGACTCTGCTTTTGTGACGTGCTTTGGGATGTGGGGGGGAGGAGGGCAGCCCAGGAGCTAGGCATTGTGATTAAACTGCTGTGGTGCCCACCCACCCGACATTTGGTGTTTCACGTAAAGTCCCAGTCCTGGAAGATGAGAGACCATGGGAGAGCCTCACCTTACTTAAAAAGTCAAAAGTCTAGATGCTCCCAGGTTCCTAATGTCTGGGCCCAAGTCCTCTAGCAGTTGTGGTTGTGGAGAGCAGCTTGAAAACATGATCCGAGTGCACCTAGAGGTTAAAAACCAGAAGGTCAATTAAATAGAACCTCATATGCTATATATGTGTGTGTGTGTGTGTGTGTATATATATATATTTTAAACCTCATGGTTTTCAAACCAATCCTTCTGGTGCTGGATCTGGTTCAGCCTGCCAGTCCCCTGAAGGCTGTTTTCAACCCCAGAGAGTTCGATCCAGCCATTAAGCATGTTGCAGGGGACGGTCTTTTGTCCTTAGCGGGTGATTTTTTAGGTGCAGTCATTCTGCTGTCAGGAGGTGGGGTGGGGGGCGGAGGCCAGGTCACTTGCCATACCTGCACTCAATGGGGGTGCCTCTGGGACTGGTTTGGGAAGCAGACCCCTTCGGGGGCACAGACCAGCTTGTCCTGTTATGTTTTGATGGCTTCTGATTCAGATCTCGAGTCACTGGATTGGCTGGCTCTGATTGCACTGAGTGGAGATTAGGGGAACGCCTTGTGTGACGCTGTATGGAATCTGGGGGACACTTCAGGATATTATGAATACCAATATTGTAAAATTGCCGTGAGTTATGCCAGATATGCCATGTAAGATATCTGCAGAAATGTTATAATCTGCCAGATATGATCATCTCATTTATGTGTTTGTATCACCTTTATATTGTGGGTTATACACATGTAGGTATGGCTGTATTTCAAAACGTGTGTTATACTTCTGGGTGACACCCCCCAGACAGTTTGGCATCAGCACTTCCTAGCCTGCTTGATGGCCCCTTAAGGACCATCAGCTCCACCTGACCCGTTGAAAGGGACGTGCCCATGGACAGAACTCTAAGGCTTCCAAGCCACGTGCTGGGCAGCTTGTACTTGGAACAAAGGAAATCAAACTGCATAGCAAGAGACTATAAAAGGCAGCTGCATCTTCTTCCTTTTGTCTTCAGTCCTGCTTCTTACCTCTGGAGTAACCTTTCTACAAACTGAAGCTCTGAACAAAGGACTGAATGACCCTTCCAAGCTGTGGGTGGGTTCCAGAGGGAATTTCAAGTCAGCAAACTCACCAATACTGCTAAGAACCTGATCTGTGTGTGTATGTGACTGTTTTACCATTTAACGTCTCTTCTTTTTTCTTTATAATAAATCTTTAGTTTTAGACACTAAAGGATTGGCTGGCAGCCTGGTATTTTGGGTAAGATCCAAACCTATAGTGACCTGGTAACGGGGCTGATCCTTTGGGGTCAGAAGAACACTTTGTCTACGTAAGCAGAGTTTTTTAATCACTTCTCTCTGTGCTGGAACTAGGTGCTGATTGGGAGCCAGAGAACTGGAATGCAATAAGGGGGCTGTGTGATAACCAGTGCGGGGGATCAGAAGCACAGTGTGTGCCTGGTTGGGGAGTTTAACTTCAGTGGTACCCACCAGTCTTGGGAGGATCTGCTCTCCCTTTTGCAGCCTGCCCTGATGGCGGCATTTCCAGTGCGGGCTGCCCTAGGCACTCCGGGTCTGGCCCCACTCGTATCAGGTCCGAGTGCTGCGGCGGCCATTGTTCTCCTCGCCCATTGCTTTGCCCTTGTCTCCCCTCTCTTTGCATCCCACGGCGGCTTCCCCTTCTTCATCGCATCAAACAATCGCTGCTTGTCTTCGGTCAAGGCCCTTCACAGCCTCCCCCCTCCCCTCGTCTCATTCGCCATCCAGCTATCGACTGCCTCCTCCGATCAGCCTCCGTCACCCACTTGTTATCTTTTCAAACTAGCACCCGTGTGCTTTCTTCCCTGCTGCCCCTGGCGCTTGGGCAGGGCTCCTGATCGAGATCCACCTTCAAATCCCCCCACAAAACTCTCCGAGGCCTCCAGGTCTACAAAAACTGGGTGAGGCCGCTGTGGCTAAGCTCACTACCTGCCATGCTGACCAGCATGGGCTCCCTGGTTCCTTGCACTCCCCTGGCTGTCTCCATCTCTTGTCTTGTACTTAGATTGTCAGCTCTCTAGGGCTGGGATGGTTTTGTTCAGTGTCTGGACAATGCTCCAGATATAGAGAGCCCTTGTCTGAGCAGATGCCCCAAGCGCAGGGGTGTTCAGGAGAGGGACAAGGATTTGGGGTACTGCAGAGAACATGGGAAAGATTCTTCTCCCCTTCAAGTGCTCCTTGGTCTGGTGACAGCTTTCCCCTCCCTGCTCCTGAGATGTTGTATCTCCCTAGGGTCCTTGAGCTGTTGAATTGCCTTCCATGTGGGCTGGAGCTGGAGCTCCTGCTCTCCCTGAAGCTTTGGGTATGAACTTTTTCAAAGGAGCTGAAGATATTTGGTGCCAAAATCCCACTGGGGGCTGGCACCAACTCCTTAGTCCCCTTTGAAAATCCCCATCTAGCTCTGTAATGGGCTGAAGGGTTAAACGGCTCTGACCTTCTAACAGGCCTTGCGTCTCTTGCTTTGGTTAAGCTCAGTTTGCGTTTAATATTAGATTAATTCTCCATGGCTGGGCTGGATGGGCCTGTGGGCTGGCATGAAGCTGTGCACTTTGAACAAGTAAAGAGAACTACTAACTAACCGCGTGGCGGCCTCTCTGCTGTCATCCTAGATAAGGGACTGGTTTATTTCTGGTTAAAAGTGTTAGCGCGTAGGACCGTGCCTCCTGATACATTCAGCCAAACATACATGTTTTAGAAAGTACCAAAATATTTTTAATTCTTTGTTTTAAATAAAAATATAAATCGATTTGGTCTGAGCCAAGGCCAGCCACAGTAATAAATACAACACATTGAAATATAAACCAGTTCAAGACAATTACAAAATATCCCACTCTGCTGGGCATTTTGCCAAGTTAATAGGCAAAACTCCAGAATTTGTCAATGAAGATCTTGCATTTGTTTTTTTTTTTAATTAAACTCCAACCATTCAAGAATGGACATTCTTCAGCTGGGGAGGTAGAATTGCACAGTCTCCGCTAATCTAGTACAATGTGATTCATATCGAAATGCATGGGGGCTGGCTGTCGGTGACCGCTTTGAAGCATACGGGCAACACCAATCCCTCCAGCGCAGTTCACACTGGTTGGATTCAGATTAGCTGGAATTTGAGCCAGGCAGAGTCTGGTAGGATTCAGGTTTGAGCCATTCTCGGCAAAAAATCATTTGAAATGAAAGGAGCGATGACCGTTAATAGTAAGAATGAAGATGTAAATCATTAAGTTAAATTATAATAAATAAAATCAGTTTGACATGAAGGTAAATCTCATGGGTGAACGAGGAGGAACAGTGGATTGTGCATTTGAAAAATATAAATATATAAAAATAATATAAGAAAAATTACAGAAAAGCTGGTTTTCTGGGAGGGTGAGCTGGAAACCTCAGAAACTCATAGACTTTAAGGATAGAAGGGACCATTATGATCATCTAGTCTGACCTGCACAACGCAGGCCACAGAATCTCACCCACCCACTCCTGGAACAACCCCCTAACCTATGCCTGAGTTATTGAAGTCCTCAACTCGTGGTTTAAAGACCTCAAGGTGCAGAGAATCCCCCAGCAAGTGACCCGTGCCCCACGCTGCAGAAGAAGGCAAAAAACCTCCAGGGCCTCTGCCAATCTTCCCTGGAGGAAAACCTCCCTGTCATTCAATGAGAAGGGCTAGGCATAAGCAGTACCCCAGCCAAGGACTTTGCTAATTCAGGAGCCTGCTGTGCCGTCCTACTCCCCCAGATCCCACGGGGAGCTGGGCCAGGAGCTTTTGGCTACCACAGAGCAACCCCCCCGGTACTGGAGACGCTCGTTTGTTTAAATATTAAACAGTAACTCCATTGCACGCACATGTAAAAATGCACAACCAGCAGCCCAGGCCCTGCTCCCGGATTTGCTGATGCTGCAAAACATTCAGTGATGATGCCCGTGGGTCGTTATAAAGGGAAAGGAGTTTGGCTTTAAAAACATACCATAGACCAGTTGCACTTAAATACGTCAGCCAACAGCTTCCAAACCCCTATAAATATATTAAATAAATAAGCCGGGCAGGGTTTGCACTGGGGCTGCGTGTGTGGATGCACCAACCAGTGGTGAAGCTCACGAATGAGAAATAAATAACCTTTAAATAACACAGGGTGACCAGATATCCCGATTTTGTAGGGACAGTGCCAGTATTTGGGGCACCGATTACCCCCACCCCTGTCCTGATTTTTCAAACTTGCTATCTGGTCACCCTAAAAGAGAACCATGCCCAGCCTCAAACCCCGGGGAATAGTAAACGGGTTTGGGGCAGGGTTTGCCATTGACCCCGAGAGGGAGGGGCAGCTGCTGCTGATGCCCCAGTACAATAGTTAAGAGCCTTGGTTGTTGCTTTGCAGAGTGGAGGTGGTGGGGGGAATAAGGGAGAATCCAGGCTGGATGAGCAGAGCATCCTCCGGCTGGGAGACACCCCCCGTAAAACTCCCCCTTAGATCTCAAAGCCCGGAGCCCCTCCCCAAGGCATGGGACTTCTCAGGCGCCAACCCCTGCGCCCCTTCACACCAGCGTGAGGTGGCGGAGGGCCCGCAAGGACGTCTCCAGGAAACGCTTGAAGTTGGCGAGGATGATGAATCCGCCGGCTTGTTTGTCGAAGTCGGACGAGAGGCTGGGGAGGGTGCCCTGGCCCTCGGCCTTGGGGTACGTCACCGTGTTCAGACCCAGATCCTCCATCTAAAGGAGCGGGAGACAGCAAGCAGCATGAGCAGGAGCCCAGTGGAGCCGGCGCCTGACGCACCCGGGGAAGCTTGGGCCTGCTCTGAGACAGCCGGGCTCTGGCTCGGGCCCTTCGTGCTGGCGAAAGGAGCCCGAAGCCTCAATCTAGGCACAGGTCAGGGCCGGCATGGGGGTGAGCTCCCCGCACCCTGGGAGGCCCCGCTGTGAGGCTGAGGGCGGGTCGCTCTCCCCATCCCATTCAATCCTCCACAAGCACGTCGGGCCCAGGAACGCAGCAGGGCTATGGCAAGCAGGGATTGGCTTCACCTTTGCTGCCAGGCCCTGCCCTGGCTGGCTCCCCGCCTGAGCCACTTGATCTGGGTGAAGGCCGCCAGGATTCTGGCTGCCCCCAGGGGCCCTGACCCCCCCCTCCCCCCAAGGGCCTGGTCCCACCCACCGGGGGAGCAGGAGCAAGTGGAGCGGTGTACCTGCTGCTGGATGTTAGTGGACAGGTTCGAGACGTCCAGCTGGAGGGCATCCACTAGGCTGGAGTGAGCCGGCAGGAGCTGGAGGAGGAGGGCGAGGTGGCCGTGGTAGATTTGGAGCCCGTCCCGGATCTGGCTGAAGCAGGCATCCTGTGGGCACGAGAAGGAAGGAGTTGAGAGAGGAGGCCGGAGCGGGGACGCTAGCTCTTTAGTGACCCGATTGGCATCAAGTTTCCTGTGCAGTGTCTATCCCAGCGAAACACCTTGGCTGCGGTGACTGTGCAGCACGGAAGGGGTTAACTGTAACTGCAGTGGGCCAGCTGTTCCCTTTCCCCCCGAGGGGTCGGAGCTTCCCCTGGGGCTCCTTCCTTGCCGGGGACCCCTAGAGCAGGGCTGGAAAACGTGACCATCGAGCTCAAGACCCTGCAAGGACCGGAGACTTCCCCCAGCCCCAGCTGACAGATCCGTGAAGCTCAGTGAGGCAGCACGGACCTGGGCCTCTCCCTCCCTCGCCGCCAGGCCGGCGCTGGGGATCACCAAGGCCGGGAAGTGCTGAGTTACAGCAGCGTTTGCCAGGGCTGTGAGGAAGCCTCCCCCTCTTTCTAGCTCGCTGCCCCTGCCCAGCTATTTTGGGCTGGACTATTCTTAGGGTTGGGTTTATCAGCCAGGCCCTGGCCTGGGAAGGCTTCGGATGAAGCCGAGAGGCGTTTGGGAAGCTGGCAGAGGAACAGGGTCGAAGTGGTTCCATTGTTCTTGTTTTGGAGAAGGCTGCCGTGGCTGGAGAGAAGCCAAAGCTGAGAACCAGCAGGTCATTGCAGGAGTGCCTTTCCTTCACCCCCGGGGCCGGGAAGCACCGCGGCGTGCTGCTCCTCTAACCCTTTCGGAGCTGATCCTCACTCCTGCCCCAGGCACAGACCTGCTGCTGGAGTCAGTCCGAGTCCGACCTGCGGCTGCCACCACTGTCAGTGGGAGCAAGCTGGGGCCCTTAGGACGCAGCCCACAGATCGCTCCCGCCCCCCCGCCCCGACCTTGCTGTAGTCCCGTGCGGTCAGACTCACCACTTCGAAGGTCTTGCTGTGACACTGATCCAGCGGGGCCTGGGAAATGCCCAGTTTCTGCTTGACAAGCATCAGCTCCTCCTCGTTGCAGAGCTGGAGGGTCGTGCACTGAGGTGGGATGAGAAGCAAAGGTACAGTCAGGTGGGAATTATAAGCCAAGTATTGCCTCGGCGACGGCTAGCGATTGCTGTTCCGGGACCCCAGTCTAGGCCGAGAATGCGATGGCCGGGGTGGGCTCCAGACACCAGCCGCAACCCTGCAAACACTCCTGGGAGTAACTTTACCCACTGAAGTCAAATGCAAAGTTCTACACTTAGGGAGGGGGGAAAAAAAATCCAATGCACAACTGCAGAATGGGGATCTAGGCAGTGGTCTGAAAAGGATCTGGGGGGTGAGTCACAGATTGAATATGAGTCAACAGTGTGATGCTGTTATGAAAAAGGCTAATCCCCGTCGAGGTGTATTAACAGGAGCATTGTATGTAAGACACGGGAGGGGACTGTCCTATTCTGCTCTGCATAAGGCTTCAGATGTATTAAGGGTTGTTATAAAGACAACAGGGATCAATTGTTCTCCGTGTCCACTGAAGGTAGGACAAGAAGTAACGGGCTTAATCTGCAGCAAGGGAGATTTAGGTGAGATATTAGGAAAAACTTTCCAACCATCAGGGTAGCTAAGCTCTGAAACAGGCTTCCCAGGGAGGTTGTGGAATCCGCATCATTGGAGGTTTTTAAGCACAGGTTGGACCAACACCTGTCATGGATGGTCTGGGTTTGCTTGGTCCTGCCCGGAGTCCCTTCCAGCCCTGCCTTTCTAGGATTCCGTTAGTCTCGCCTGCCTTTTCCCAAGCACTGTTTTTCTGTTTTCATTTTTGCATTGTCCTTTCCTTTGGCACGACCCCGGGAATAGCAGGAAAGGAGAGGGACTCAGTGCTGCACATTGGCTGGCGTGGTCGTGCGAGACTTTGGAAACTGGACCAAAGCAAACAAATCCACTGGCTATGTGAATAAGACTGGCTGCCCCACAGGGTTAAAATACTGACAAGCGGGAGCTGTAATCTCCAGGAAACATGCCCTTTCGGATCCCCCGGGCCAGCGGGCTGGCCAGCGTCTGCTTCCCAATTTAACACCATCAGTGCGAAAAACTTTTCTGGGCCAAATCCTAAGGGCCCGATCCTGCAAACGCCTCGGTGTGGGAGTAACACTGAATAAACAGGGCTGCTCGCCTGAGGAAGGAGACCTGCAGAAGTGCATGAGGATCAGGCCAAACAAACTGCAGTCCAAAGCAGGAGGAGGATTCACCGTCCTCAAATCCGCTCTCTGCCTGCATCAGGCAGGGGCAGAGCGACCAGAAGGGGAAGGCTGCAGTTTGCACTGGCTGAGTGGACAGATCCTCTACCTAGCGGCTGGGTAAATTGTCAGGCTGGTCCCTGAGAAGACACTTGTTCAGCAGCCTGCAACTCCTCTGGGAGGGATGGGTCCCTGTTTCTGGTTCTTGCTTTGAGAGAGGCGAAGAGACACAGTTCCTCTTGCTCCTGTTGTGTACTTCCTGACAGGGGTTGAAGTTTGCTAAGTTTGCTGGATGAGGAGGGCCCTTGTCTGTGACCCTGCCAGCTGGAGGTAGTGGGGACCTGGACAGGTGTCTGTCCCTGGGGAAGATCAGCACAGCTTCACGCTGCTCTACAGCAAGGGGTCTGACGCCGCGGAGTGATCTCCCAATCCGTCTCGTCCTGCTGCGAAGTCCTACCGCCCAGCCCAAGGCATAGCTACTGGGGAAGCCTGTCTGTCTGGGAGCCTGGGGCTGAGATCCTCAGCAGAGATGAAGCCTCCGGATCAGAATGTCAGGGCCCCACCCCTGAGTGCTCAGGGCCCGGCTGCTGGCATCCTCCCTTGTTACAGTTTAACCCACTGCGCAGCTCTCCCCTGAGTCCCCTCCAGCCCGGCTGCAGCCCCCAGCATCACTGCTGAGCGAGAGACCCCAAATCGCCAGGGAGGCGTGTAGCTGCAGCTTTCTCGTCAGATGTCAAGAAGCCCCTTTGTGCAGGTCATAGATGAACCTCTGAGTGCATTGCATAGCCCACCCCAGACCTCTGCTGCCCTCCATGCCTCTCCCCTTGGTTTGTGTCGAGCAACTCACCACAAGCTCCTCCACCTGGGCGACGTCCCCTTTGATTTTGCGGATGTATTCCAGGTCCTTCTGCAGGAATTGCTGGAAATCCTGATCCCCGGAGAACTCTGGCAGGGGAGCTGCGTGCAGCATGGTGCACCCCAAACACAGCACAGCGCTGACTAGCAATGGTAGAACAGCTGGAGGCGAAGGAAGGAGAGAGAGGAGCAGAGTCAGGCAGGTAAGTGCAGAGGAATCCAGCTGTGGCTGGAGATACAGAGCGGGAGAAACGCCCCCTTTCTGTGTTCAGAGGAGATAGTAGGGTTAGTCCAGAAGCCCCAACTGAGGTTGGCGGCCCTGTATGCTGGGCACTGCACATACACCTAGTGAGAGACAGGCCGTGCCCAGGAGAACTTCCAGTGGAAACTGTTCTCATGTAAGTATCACCCCAAAGTGTGTTGGTTCCCCCAATCTCTGCCCAAGGAGCTTAGTCTAAAGAAACACAATCTAGACATTAAAGCTTTTAGAGTTAAAGTTAGAATGAGACTTTGATTTAAATCCCCTCTGCTTTCAGCTGCTCATAACTCAGAATTTTTTGTAGCGAGGCAAACTCACCCATAACATGCAGTAAGTAACCCCACCTGTTAAAAACATAATCCAGCCTGTATAAAACACATGCCTCTTAAATGTTCTGCATTTGTCCCCACAGCTATTCTTTTCCTGGTTATACATAAAGAGGCAAATATACCAGGAAGAAGGAAGAAAAAAAAATTTTTTTTTTTTGTTTAAATCAAACAACCCAAACGGTAACTGTAGAAGTTACTGTTCCCCAAATCACACTTACCAGCCCCCTCACCTAGAATAAATCCAAGCAGTTTGCTATTAGGAAATCAGTGGCTATGGTATCTTGCTGTCGAGTGAAGGTTCGTACTTACTTTGGAGAGATCTCATTCTAAATGCGTGGAATCTTCTCAGTATCTCCTCCCCTTTTGAGTTTATGACGGTTCCCGGGAATGTGAATAAGACAGACGCAAAAGCTGTACTAGTCCCTTTCAGTTCACGAATGCTGAACCTCTCATCAATACAGGGCATTTATAGTCTTGTCAGGGAAAATTCACTCTGATGAAATAAGTGTGACAAATCGCTTGGGCAAATCATTCCTAGAATTTGTATTTTCACAGATTTGTATTTTCAAGTTTGACAAAATGTAGGTTTTCAAATGGTCCTAATTGATTCTACTTGGGACCCCAATCTTAGACCGCTGGACCTGTTCTCCAGCCCACTGGGGCAAGATCAATAGAAACTCATTAATTCTCATTGCTCTTTAAACCCCAGAATGCCCCCAAAGTCAGCCACTCCCCAAAAGATCAGCCGTTTCTTATTCCCCATCAGAGATTTAATTGTGAGCTAACAAGACATCTCAGTCCTGATCAAACTTTGTTATCCTTACAGTAGAAGCAGCTGCTTTGTTCTCCAGCAACGTGAGTAGATTGTTTGTTAATTTAACCAAGTAATTAGGTCATGATGAAGAGAGAGAAATCACCTTTACATTCCTCTCTCCTTGTTGCTGTGTTCACTTGCCCTCAAGTAGAACCACTAACATTCCCTCATGTGATATGTGCTTCGCCTAGAATTAAAACAGCATGTGTCTGCTTGCTGAGAGATCCTATGCCTTAAGTCTGGAGGGGCCCACACCATGGTATCTGGGCCCCAGACAGTCATGAATGATTGTGATCCTCACAGCACCACCTAGGGAGATAGGGAAGGATCACATGGGGAAACTGAGGCACAGCAAGGCTTTAGGCCAGTTTTCCAAAGTGGCTAGTGATGGTAGATACTCAACGCAAGACCCTAAAATTCAGGAATTGTCCTATGAAGATCTTCATAGAATCATAGAATATCAGGGTTGGAAGGGACCTCAGAAAGTCATCTAGACCAACCCCCTGCTCAAAGCAGGACCAACCCAACTACATCATCCCAGCCAGGGCTTTGTCAAGCCGGGCCTTAAAAACCTGTAAGGATGGAGATTCCACCACCTCCCTAGGCAACCCATTCCAGTGCTTCACCACCCTCCTAGTGAAATAGTGTTTCCTAATATCCAACCTAGACCTCCCCCACTGCAACTTGAGACCATTACTCCCTGTTCTGTCATCTGCCACCACCGAGAGCAGCCGAGCTCCATCCTCTTTGGAACCCCCCTTCAGCTAGTTGAAGGCTGCTATCTTGGTGTAAGGGACGTGACCGGGGTCACATGAAAAACCCGTGGCTGTCTCTGGCCTGCCTTGTCTATTTAGATAACAAGCTCGTTTGGGGCAGGGACTTGCTGTGGGTGAAATTCAAGTCACTGGGAGTCTTGCCATTGATCTCGGTGGGCCAGGGGTTCACCGTGTGTGTGCAGCACCTTGCTCTCAGCACCGCTGGGATACAGACACCACGAGGACTCTGAACCCCTCTTTCCAGCAGCGTTAGCTGGCTCGGGGTGGGGGAATGGGCCTGGGAGGTGCACTACAGCGATAGGAGCTCCAGCCCCCTTGGCAAGGCCCTGACGGGAGCGATCCTGCACCGGTCTCTGGCGATCGTTCCCCAGATTCGGGGGATCTGACCCCGGCGCTGCTTCCTAACTCCTCAGTGTTCTTTTGTTGGCAGGCTGGTGGGGAAAACGCGACGCACATTTCCATCTTGGGCTGCCTGGCCCAGTGCCAGCTGAACCAACTCCCGCCCGGCTGGGGGCAGGGGGACGATTGCTCGGAAATGGAGCTGGAGGGGGCTTTGAGCCCAGCCCCTTGGCAAAGCGGCTGCGGCACTTAGTGGGATGGCGTTGGAATGTATTGTCCTGGCTCCGTTTAATCGCAAGCTCCACGTTCTACCTGCCTGGGAACAAGGAAATGGGATTCTGGGCAGGTGCCAAAGTAATAAAAAGTCCAACCCGCCTCACCGAATCCCGGCATGGGGATTTAAACCATCTGTCCCAGCATGACCTCTCGGAGAGGCAAAAGCGGGGGGGGGGGGGGGGGGGAAAAAACAGATCCTCCTCATTCTGACCCCCCCCCGACACACTTCCCTTCTGAGGCCTTGGTCAAATCACTTCACCTCGGATAATCAGCCGGGCTCGGCATGTTCCACGGTGCCTCAGATGCCGCTCTCACTGCCCCCACCTGGACTCTCCGTGGACCTCTGAGCCCGGCAGGTGTAGGTCAGCCACAGGCAATGGCCTGTGCTGATTTGCACCAGCTAATGGTTGCGCATGTAACCGTTACACCAGCTGAGTGCAAGCTGAGCCAGCCAGCCCCAGGCAATTGCTCTGAGAGGCATGAATCAAGCCATCCACCTCAATGGGGTGTTAACTGAACCCGAAGGACCTAACTCCTGCTTGTTGTGCTCTGAGCTGGAATTGCTGCTTTGGAAAAGGGCAAACTTAGGAACAGAGCGGGTCACACAGTGGGTCAGTATACGAGTGGATCAGTATACTTCTGGCTCCGTCAGCTCTCAACCACCAGAGCTGTTCTGAGATGGCCCCTTTAAGGGAGCTGGGTGGAGCCCCACCTGCTTCCCAAGCTAACTTGAGGGAGAGCGTAAGGAGGTGGGAGGTGTGGGGCTTGCTACTCTGGCTGGGGCAAGGAGCTGGCTGGGGTTCCCCCTGGGCAGGTAGCACAGGCCTGGGGAGGAGCAAGGCCACATGAGCTGGTTACCTGTTTGGATTTGTGTTGAGCTGAGTTTGTGTTTGAACAATCAGTAGACCCCTGGTGAAAGGGGCTGAAACATGGACCCTTGAGGGGGTTGGGGAGCGGGCTCACTGATGCACTGGCTGGCGGCTTTCAGGAATGTGGGGAAACTGAGGCAGGGGCAGGTCTGATACCAGGTTTGAGGTGTCCCTGTTACAGAACCTGACTGACAATTCCCTACTCCGCCCACTAGACCAAATTAGTCTAGGGGTTAGAGCAGAAGGGGTTGGGGAGTCAGGACTCCTGGGTTCTCTCACTTGCTCCGTGGCCTTGGGGCTGTGGCTCCGCCTCTCTCTGCTCCCTGGACTGGAGAGAATTTGTTACGAATGCCAATTGCTCTGAGGTTCTGCCCCAGCTCCCTCAACGGGCTGCAGGGCTGAATTCAGTTTGCTCCACAGACATTCCTGGCTGATGGTCAGCCCTGCGCAGGGGGTCAACACTCTCTGGGGCCCGTGCGACTGGAGCCGGGCGGGAGAGCCCTCACCTCTGCAGAGCTGGCGCCCAGGGGAATTTCACCTCATGGGAGGCAGAATCTCCCGATAGCCTCTCATGGGAAGGCTGGTGGCAAAGTTTCCAAGCTTTCAAGAGTTCCTCCTTCCGCAGCGAGATTTCAGGCCGTGGCACAAAGCTGGGCTGTGAGGAACAGTGCCGGGTTCACAGTGGCGCCATGGAGCCGGGCCCATGCTCAGAAGGGTTCCCCGGCCTGCCCCGCTTGCACTGGGCCGAGACCCCACCAGCCTGCTGGCTGCTCCCCGCCCATTACTTGCTCCTCTCGGCCTGCCTGCCGGCCGGACCCAGTGCCCCTCCGGCTCCGGGCAGTCTCTGCTTCCCACCACCTGTGGGACCCCGCCTGTCTCCCCGGGGCTGAGCTGCCTGGGACTGGTGCAGAAGCAGACACAGTCACCGCCGAGCAGGGCGGGTGAGTGCGGCCGGGAGGCAGGGGTGGGGGAATGGGTCTCTGAAGCGTCTGGGGAGCTGTGAGGGGGCGGGGAAGATGTGTCTGTGTTGGGGCACTAGGGAGTGGGGGTTCTGTGTGGGACGCAGGACAGTTGTGGTGGGGCTGTGGGCAGGGGCTCTGGCCAGAGGGAGTCACGGGGGTGTTGGGCGGGGGGGCTGTGTGGCATGGCATGGGCCCCCTCCGAGGGGAAGGGGCAGGCTGGCAGCACAGGGCCGGGCAGGACACAGTGCGTCTGGCAACTGCCGGTTTGTAGATAGTGCCCTCGCACTGGGCTGGGCGGAGCGGGGCTGCCCCTGCCATGCCCTTGGCCAGCCCCTCGCTGCAGGGACCGACGCCCCCGCGCCATGCTCCATTGCCCCCATGGGGACCCACAAATATATTTGGCACTGGGCCCCCAAAGGTTAATCCGGCCCTGGTGAGGAAGAAGGGGAGAGGTAGTGAAATTTCCCAGGGCGTGTTGGTCACTGAAGGCCAGGGGCGGGGTGGTCTCCCATGGACTGATGTCACCTCCTTGGAAGTGGTGAAGATGGAAAATGCTGGCTCAGGGGTGAACAGCTGGGCATGGCTGGGAGTCAGCAGGCTTTTATTTTCAAGAATTAGGGCTATTAAAAACAGAAGAGTGAGTCAGAAATAGGAAGTCGCAGCTGCTGGCAGGAACTGGGCATACGCCCAGAAACCACGGGGATGGGTACGAGAGGGCCCAGGAGTGAGCTTTGTCATGGTTACCAAGAGTGGTGGAGTTTCCACTGGGCTTGGCCAATGTGCGTGGGAAACGGGGCCTTTCTTAGCGCAGCTGCCACCGGTGAGCTCCATTTTAGCTGCTCCTTTCCCCACCCTGGCAGGAGGCACTTCTGGCTCCTGGCTAGGCCCAAGGCTGAGTTGAGGTGGGGCTAGCCCAGTGCCATGGAGCGAGAGGAGCGCTCTGAGCCCCCCCACCCCCGTGTGTGTGGGACTCTCTGTTTGAAAATGGACTCCAGTCCGACCTACCCCCAATGCCCACACGCCGGCTCTGCTGTGCCCGCTGTGCATAGACACGGGGGACCCCGTCCTGCCCGCAGAGCAGCCTCCTGAATGCGGCCCCGTGCGGCCCCGCGGGGCCCTCTCTGGGGAACGGGCTGGGTCCATCCCTTTCAGCCCATTCTCCAAGGGCGTCGCTCAGCCCAGTTTGAGCTGACCCCAGTGCCGGGGCGGCTGTGTCTCCTGGAGCGATCGCTCTCTGGCTGGAGATCTCACTGCTCGGGGAGGCCCCTCCTGA